TCCCCTCAGCTTGGCCTGTGCCCTCTCCCAGTCCAGGACCCCTCGGGGGATGTCTACCTGCTGACTTAGGCCCTATCTCCCTGGGGATCAGGCCTAAGCCGGCAGTTGGACATCTTCCGAGGGACCCCGGATGGCGAGAGGGTGCAGGCCAGGCTGAGGGACCCTCTCACCCCCCCAGTGCACGAATTCTGTGCACTGGGCCTCTAGTCTATTATAATTATCAGAAATTTTCTATAATAGAATGTCCCATTACTTAAAAATATAATTAAGAACTTTTATATTTCCAAAATTTGAAAAATCACCATGTTATCAAGTGAGAATACTACTTGCATTGTAAGCTAGTAGTTACTCCATCACCACATTCTTCTCCTCATTTCTTAGAGGAAATATTTATTGTATATATCCTCCCATACTTGCATTTGATAAATTTTAAGTCTACTCTTATGAATATGAATAATGACTATGTAATAGATTATTTAAATTATATATGCATTCCTATAACCTTATCATATAACACATGACATGTCTAGGAAATTAGATAGGGTTTGAGTACCTTAGGAAATAGATGTTGAACCTAAAAAACACATTCATTTTCCTGGATCATTTATATTTGGAAATAGTAATGAATTGTTCTCTTACTTGAAATGGCAATAACATCAAAGCTGCATATATCTCTTGAGTTGGTTTTATCCTGACAAAACAAATATGAGGACAGTTTAATAATAAACCTTCATTAACTTTCTGTTTATAACTGAGGTTTTCTTTTATTATATTTCTAATTAATTCATTTAGTAGAAAATGGGCTCACAATTGCAAATACATGAGGGAAGGAAGTTAAATTATCTTGATGGTGTTTTAACACAGATATTTTATTACCCAACATTTTTTAAGCTTCTAAACTATAGGAATTTATAATAATTTGTTACTATAATAATTACATAAAAATATCAAGCTATTGAGAATTCTGAAGTGCTTAGAAGACACTAGATCATTATTAAGTTATTCCAATTTTGTTCTGCATCTGTAGATTTTTCTGCTCCTTTGTCACCTGATAATAACCAGATGTCCCCATTTCTTAACAAGCTCAATAAAAAAAAAAACACAAAACAAAACAAAAACTGGTTGCAAGGATTTGTTTGTTTGAAAAATTGCTTTTTTCCCCATTTTTAGTGGATTAACCAGATAGACCTACAAAAAGGGTGGAGGGAAAAGTATAATGGAGATCATATTGCAGCCATGATAAAGACCACATTTAGGAGAAAATTGGGGATAATTTAACCAGAAATTAACCAATAAATTGAAGAAAAATAATCTCTAGAAAATATTTTTGTGAGAACAAATTTAAGTATATTTCACTGTTATTTTACAGAAAAAGTTATCAAAATCTTGACCAGTTTTCAGCTGAAGTTAGCCTTTCTCAGACTTCCCTGGACCCAGGTCAGTCACAAGACGATGGAAAACAAGACACGTTAAATTCAATCAGTGAAGGTAAGGAAAAAGTCTGTTTGAAAAGTACTTTTCCTGCACGATTGATACTGTGGTTGCAGAGGACTGCTAAAGAATAATTGTGATAATTCTGCAAAGTATGCTAAGAATTAAACTGCCATTATGGTTAAAAATGGTCTGCTCTTGTTTGTTCCTCATGTGTTTGTGGCTAACCTTCTAGATTCTCTTTAGTTTTTACCTTTATTTCCTCACTTCCTGTGTCTTTTCTACCCACTCTGATTTGGCTTTTGTGTCTCTACTACTTACTGAAATGATTTTATCAAGGTGATTAACCACTGCCATATTGCTAAAGTCAGTTCTCTGCCTTTATCCTATTAAACTCAGCAGCTTTTGCTATAACTGACCATTTCTTCATTTTTTAGTCACTTTTGGTACCTTGTTTATAAGTACTCTGAAAAAACGTGGGAATAGACATAAAGGAGTTTTGTTTTTTCCCATTACCCCTTTCAGCTGTGCTCGACCAACCACTCTTCCCATTGGGTTGCATCTTCCTCAACTACATCTTGGTCAAATTCCACAACTTTTCAGGTCACTTTCAATGATCGCATTTGTTTCTAAGACTCAAGCTATTCCTTTTAAAAGTTCAATAGCTTAGTTGGTTCAAAGCTCCTTTTTCCTCCCCTCAGCATAGGCTACAGTTGTGAATACAGCCCTTTGGATTGGACAAGTGGTACTGGTATGAAAGAGTGCTCACATCTTTTATCTCTCCTTCCCAGTCCTACATGTGCTGGTGTGTGAGAGCTAGGGAGTTTCTTACGGAAGGGGAACCTACAATCCTTTAGACCTGAAAGAGTGCTCACATCTTTTATCTCTCCTTCCCAGTTCTACATGTGCTGGTGTGTGTGAGAGCTAGGGAGTTTCTTACCGAAGGGGAACCTGCAATCCTTTAGACATCCAGTTTCTTTTGTTTTCTTTCTCCATTGCAATAAATGGCACCCCCATAAGCATTATTCTAGATTCTACTCTTCCCGCTTACATCAGTAGGTCAGTTTATTAGCAAGTCCTGGAAGCTCCCCATATAGCACATGCTATATAGACTGACCCATCATCTCCTCCCTTACTGCAATCCTAGCCTGTGCCGCTTGGAGCAAGCCTCTTGGATGGACTGCTGCCACAGCTTTTTCAATGTCTTTGGTCTCCCATTCTTGCCTTCTCATAATCCATTCTCCAAACAGTAATCAGTGATCTTCGAAAACATTGTATCCCCACTTAAAGTCATCCTGTGGCTCTCAAAGACAGAGTAAAATTCAAACTGCGTATCATGGCATCGTTATTGTTGATAGACAGGATGAGAAGTCATTTTTTTCAAGAAATATTTATTAAGCACCTTATATAGACAGATATTATGCTAGTAACTTATTAGTAGCTACCACATTTCATCAAATCTAAGATGCTTTGAGTTTTAAGATATACAATTATTGCCCAGTTGGGTAGAGTTGGTTGTCGTGGCATACACAGACACAATAAGGATGCAGGTTCGATTTAGGTCAGGGCATATACCTAGGTTGCGGTCGAGGTACATATGGGAGGCAATTGATCTATGTTTCTCTCACACATTGATGTTTCTTCTCTCTCCCTCCCTCCCTCTTTAAAATCAATTACAAATATATATATATTTGTAATAAATAATCCATCCTTGGGTGAGGATTATGATAAACCATTATTTTATGTATAACCACGAAAGAAAAATGCTAACAATTCACTATAACATTTCAACATCTTAGCATTTTAAAAAATATTTTTTATTGATTTTATTTTTTTAGAGAGATAGGGAGAGGGATGGAGAGATAGAAACATTGATGAGAGAAACATCATCGATCAGCTGCCTCCTGCACACTCCCTACTGGGATCGAGCCAGCAACTGGGGCATGTACCCTGACTGGGAATTGAACCTGTGGCCTCTTGGTTCATGGGTTGACGCTCAACCACTGAGCCACACCACCAGGCAAGCAGTGATTCTTAAATGTATTGTTTGTTATCATAATGCGTGGCACATAGAGTACATCCAGTGACTTCTAACTTAACATTTGTAGCAGTACCATTTGAAGACTTGTAGAGTCCAGACCCCACTATCAGTACATTTAAAACAGAACTGGTCTTTTTGCTATGCTATAAAACAAAAATCAATTTTCTGCTTTTAATGACTAATTTGTTTCTGCTAGGACCTACCAACCTCTGTCATCTGAGGCAAAAAGTTTTGTTAACCTTCAACTGTTGCCATATCAATATTTTATAAAGTATATGAAGTTTTTAGTGTTTTTAGGTCCTTATTGGACCTAAAGGACAATTCTTCAAGGACAGTTAACTATTTGTTATTTTATCCTAATTTCCAGGTAAAGAAGACACTCCCTCCTTACTTGGTCTCTGTGGGTCTCTAACATCAGTGGCAAGTTACAAATCTCTAACTAGCCTCAAATCCAATGACTGTCTTGCAAGTCCTACAGCAGAGATGACAAGTCCAGGCCTAACTCCATCCTGAAAAATTTAATGTAAAAGCCAAAATATTTTATGTTGCAGAAGTTCTATTACATAAGTTTGACTGCTGGGAAAACCTTTGGAATTTTATATTGTTCTGGCATATATGTGGAGTTCTGTTGTTTCTAGTTCAATCTACTCCATGAAAACTGAATGGAAAAAAAAAGATCTTGCCATTTTTTTCATTAAAAAATTCTTATATTTGTCACTGAGAAAGTTTAAAATGAATAGGCCTAACATTTTTTTCAAAGATCCTCAAAATTAATAATCATTTGCAAATTGTACATACTTATTCAGTCGATTTTCATATATTTAAATGTATCATAATTGCCAGAGACCGAGTTCAAGGTTTTATTTCAGAGACTTTAGGCAAGTATTTTCTTTCCTTTTTAATTCAATGATTCAAATTTCTAAAAATGACTTAATAATTTCACTTTTCATTAATTTCTTCCTATGTTCTCATGTTAAAAGCCTTGTTTTTAATATGAGGAGAATGTTTTCAGCTGCAGTTTGACAGTGGCTTATTCAATTTTTCTTTAACAATCATCATTTGATATCAACTTAGCATTCCACTTAACATTTTATATATTTTGTAGGAATGTGCCTTTAGGCAGTTACTAAATTTGTTAGGGTCATAGGGAAAGTATTTTACAGTATTTTAGGCCATTTAGGTAAAATGAATAAAATTTCTTATCTTTGTTTCTCCAAAATTTTCTTAAAAGGTCATCAATTAAAAAAACCTGACCGAATATGCATCCAAAATTAAACATTAAAAAAGTGTAGAGCAGATGTTGAAAAAAATATTTGATCAGGGAAGATTTCAAGTTCAATCAAGTATCTGAGAGGCTTTTAAATTAGTATCAGTAGGTAATCACCATACTTAATGTCCGGCATAGTGCTGTTTTCTATCCCTTATGGGCTGCAGTGAAGTCTCATGTATGTTTTATAGTTTCTATTATTAATCATGCCACAATCTCATTGTAAAGTCAATATTAAAAATCCCCGCACTTCTACAGGTTAAAAAAAATGTTTTCTTTTTAAAAACATCTCTGAACTGTATTTTAATTTTTTTTTTTGCAATTTCTGAAACTATACATTTTTGTCCCTAAAAACTTCGCCATATTGGAAAAGAAAATGTATTAAATGTATTTTCTACAGTAATATGAGGAAAACATGATCAGTTGTGCCAAAGAAGTTTTTACATTGTTTACATGAAGAAGCTACAATACTTACTGGGGACTTATGTGATATTTTTGTTTACTAATAAAACATTACATTCAAACTTAGTAGCTTTGACATATAGGAAGAATGTTCCTCCTAAAGCAATTTATTTTTGTTGAGAGGAGGCAAGAAGTGCTGAACTTATCACAGTCATTCTTTGTGTTAGAAATGTAGGAGTGTGGTGGTTCTCTGCAATCTTTAGAGCTTTACTCTCATAATTTGAAATTTAAGATAATAAATAGTAACAAGGCTAGTCTTATATGTAAGATAGTTCAAACAATATCATTTCAGGGACAAAGGAGGCCTGGAAGCCCTTAAAATAAGTTATCTTAGATGTACCAGGGCTACTCAGAGCTTTATTATTTTAGCTTAAGGCTTTTTAGTACTTGTAAAAATGCAAACATTCTTGAGAAATGGTACCTTTAATCTCTGAATTCTGAATACCTTATTGTGAGTGAGGTATCCAAAGCAATTTTTACTCAGCATGGGGGATGGAAGTTATAAAAGGAGGGCAGTGGAAATCTTGGGAGGAGGAAGTGAGAAATGGTTAAGGAGGGGAACTTCAAAACTTTTAGGCTGGCTTTAAGCACTATTGCTGCTTTCCTAAAAACTTTCAGAATGTTTTAATGCTTTATCATTCACGGTCCACACTCAACTTGACATTTTCCTTCAATAACTTTAAAAAATCATTGTTACATTTTTTCCATACATTTTTATAATACAGAAAGTTAACTCAAGATTCCATAATTAATACAATTTTTCAGATTTGTCTAATGTGTACTGTAACTTGTGCATCTTAACACAGTGCATCTTAAGTGCAGATTTAAACATGACAACTGAGGACCATGACTTCCTCCTTTCTTGGAGCTCTTGGTATAAATTTCATCTTTTAATGTGAATTCAGGTTTCTACTCAGTTCATCTCATACTAATTACAGAGATAGTTAATGTGTGCATGAGGAAACAACTTATGTCTCAATCTTTAGTTTCATTTGGTAGTGTTTATTGTTCATACACCCTCCCCAAAATAGAATGCTGAATTACATGCTAATATTTCCATGTGTATTTTGTTGCCTTGATGTATTACACTTGTTGCATGTATATTAAACATTTTGTACCATGCATTAGTGGTCTTAATTTATCCTTGACAAAAAGTTACTTGATTCAGGTTACACACTGAGTTGACAAATAGGGTAAAAGTATATTACCTAACTAGAGGGAGGCCCAGTGCACGAATTCATGCACAGGTGGGGTCCCTCAGCCTAGCTAGTGATCAGGGCTGATCAGGGCCTTCTCACCCAGGAAGGGACTGTAGGAGGTTGGCCAGCAGCGGGAAGTTGGCTGTGGGAGCGCACTGACCACCAGGGGGCAGCTCCTGCATTGAGCATCTGCCTCCTGGTGGTTAGTATGCATCATAGGGACGGTCGCTTAGGCTTTTATATACATAGATATCTAAAATATTAGTATCAAAATGGTTTTGGAAGAATCCTTATTTCAACTTATATAAAATTAGAGGCCCAATGCACGAAGATTCATGCAAGAATGGGCCTTCCTTCCCCTGGCTGCCAGTACCGCCTTCGCTCTGGCCAGAGCCACCTTTCCGCCTTCCCACGCTGCCTAGAGGCCTGGAGTGGCTGGGGCCATTCGGAACACCTGCGCCCTGCCCCCTCGGGGCCTGCGCATGTAAATTAACCCACCATCTTTGTTGGGTTAATTTGCATACCCACTCCTGTTTGGCTGGTGGTGTCATGAAGGTATGGTCAATTTGCATCTTTCTCTTTTATTAGTGTAGATTGAATACATTTTATTTTTTAAAGACCATGACACTCTTTGAGTACACACAGCTATGGAGTGGCACAGTACAGCAATGGTCCTGGCAGTGTTACTGATAGGATCACATAATTGCCAACGTTTGCTTTCTCAGCTGCCAAATGGAAACATCACCATCTTCTCAGCACCTGTCTGAAGGCATCAGGATGATGTCAGCACTAAATGAAATCATACGTGCATGTTTGTAATAGGTAAGTGCCAAAGTCAAGCTACTAATTATGATTGACAAAACTTTAAGTCAGTTTGTAAGTCATCTTTATTAGATTTACATACAAGTTTTCAAGTGGTTAAAAATGTCTCACAGTTACAACTTATGGAAATTCTTTGCAAAGTTCCTATCATTAGGTGAAATCTCCACCTCTGAAATGTCACATGACTGCTTTGAAAATCAGGGCTCTTAATTTTTTTTAAGTTAGTTCACTTTGCTCTTCCTCTAAGCAAAGCAGCTTCTATGTAGGTTCGGCATTTGTTCTTCTTAATGGATAGGAAGGGGGAGATAAAATTATATGTGTCATTAATAGTACCCTTTAAAATCATATTTTAGTTTAAACCAAACTTTAGATTGTTGTAAAATACGTTACCTTATTATATGTCACATTTCCCATACTGTCAGTTATTTTTCTAAAACACAACTAAAATCAAAATTTCACAACACTTGGCCTTACTACATGACACATTCTGGTGTTTTCTGTTCTATGTTGTGGTATTTTCTTTCATTAAAAATAAATGGTCTTGCGGGGAAAAAACCAATACCCCAACTCTAAGTATTAGAGCTGTACCAAAAATACTGCCTTTGTCTCCTGTTGTCTTCTTGTTTCTCCTTTGGCACACAAGCCCTCTGACTACATTCCCAATCTGATCTCCTACCACATGGCCATGTATACCCATTGCTCAAACTGGGACATATCCCATTGCCTGCTTCCAGGTATACTTCATCTGCATCATCTGCCCTAATCCTAGAAGCATTTCCTGCCCACTCCTCCTTCTCCCCCAGGCTGAGTGGAGAATCCATGAATCATAGTTTTCAAATCCACTTGAGGCCAGTGACAGTTTCTGACAGTTTTGCTATCTTTTTTCCATCACCATTTATCCCCCTACACCCTCCTCACCGACTCCCACATCTGAAACATCTTCTCTCCAGTGTTTTTCATACTGCCTATCACATTAAAGGTCTCAATAAGTCATGAATGACAGATTACATTTTGGAAAAAAGTTCAAAAGTGATAGACTATGTTTTCCCACATCCCTGGATTTGTGCCCTGTAAAAAAGGAGGGAAGAATTTAAAGGAGTCATATGTGATTAAGTATAGTGAATAATTTTCCTAGAAATAAAAGGAAAATTAGAATTCTGTACTCTTAAAAAGTCAAATGTGTATTATATGAAAAGTAGCAAACATAATACTTGAAGAAGACATTTCTTCTTAAAAATGTACACATAAATTAAATATGTATGTTGGAAAATTTATCATTAATAAAATGAAAGTTTCCTTTCAGCAACATTACCAAGAACACAATTTCTAGCCAAACTCTTTTTGGTTGCTACTTTTTCTTTTTTTAAAACGAAAGTATTTATGCTTATTTACTACTTAAGTACAGAGAAAGCTGAAGCTTTCGTTTTTCATCCGGATACACTGCATGTAATACGTATTAGAAAAACTACTAGGGAATTATATATAAGTTATTTTAGTCATAAATCATAAGAATTTCCCACAAGTGCAATCAGTATTTATTTATAAGTGATAGTAAGTTGAAATATGTGATTGCTTTTTGAAGCATAGTTCTAAATCTCAATTTTCTGCCTTTTTCTACCAATAAGTTATCAAAAAGAAGCATAGCAAAACCAAGGTAAATTTAATACTGTTAAACAGCAGTGTTCCAGATAAACATTCTTACACACATTTTATGAAAATATTAGCTAAAGGTACAGTGATAATTTTAACTTAAGCAAAATATTTTAATGAAAGTATAAGTTAAAATAATTATATTTTTATGGATATTTATGTTGCAAATTTAAGGTAAATCAACACAGGATAAAAACAAAAGGTTACATACAAATCCCATATAATTTATTTCTGGTAAAACATATGAGCTTTTTTTCTACTATAATACAAATACATTAATTCCTCTGTGAACATCAGAGCTTTAACACCTAAATATATTACCTATTTTAGGGGGGAAATGTTTCACATTTTCATAAAATACACATAGTTTGCAATAAAGTGCTTTTCTTATGTATATCCTAAGAAAATCCAACCAATACTTTAAAAAATATCATTTCTTGTCCTGCCATAATCTTTTTATTTCATTCCTATAGTCATAAGCTAAATTACTTAGGCATTAGCCTATAGTGACCAAAAGCTATTTCTTCAAGGAAATTGTATGTGTAGTCTCTTGTCTAGCATACTAATGTGAGATGCATATCATCAAGGGAAATTCTGGAAATATTTTATAACTGACATTGTATTAATAATATCAAATATAATAGAACAAGCCAATAGAGCGACCTAGAGGACTCCACAGTGACACATGAATTATCACATGGCTGAAACCAGATGACCTTCCTATGCCAAAACATTATTTTTACTTGTCTAAGTACAATGTTGTTTTCCACTCTACACCCACGCTTGATTTTAGTGAACATTTAATACAATCAGTAAACCACACTCTCTTGCAGTATCAGTATACAATACAGGATCTTTAATATCAAACTCTCAAGTTCCAAGTGTTAAGGAATAATTGTTTTTTTTCTTTATAAAATGCTCAGTGGTTGTGATTTCTGAAATATCTTTTTCACTATCTCAAAAATTAGGAATACACAATTTATTTTAAAATAAGGATTATGATTTAGAGTCAAGGTAGAAATTTCTATTCATTTAAATTATCGGCAAGAAAGATACAAAATAATCGTAAGAAAAAAGAAAGGCTCTTGCCTAAGAGTCTCCATCTTATTTGGCCGTGGCTATTTCAAGTTGAAGCAGCATCATTACTGCTGTTTTTGAGTATTTTTTTTCTGGAAAAAAGCCTTTCCAAATTCATATGTACTGATCATGATGGCACAAGCAGGAGCAATTTTAATTAAACGGGGAGTTAGGCCTGCAAAGAGAACAGAAAAATATCAGAACAAATTTTACCTTATTTTAAAATACTTATTGGTTTGGTTTCATTCTGATGATGATCAAATTAAATGAAGTGATACATCAAATACTGTGCCATAAACTGGTATTCAAGAACAAGACAAACTTACTCCCAACCTCCTCAATTTAACTCCGTTACTTTACATAGAAATTTTATTAAGAGTAAATCTATTGTCATTTAACAGTTTTAAATCTATAGAAAAGATGTTTAGGAGGAAATCATAAATGTGAATTGCTTTCAACAATTTCCTGCTGAATAGTTAATTTAGGGGATAGGAAGGATAGATTTAAAAGTAAAAGTAATAATTTTACTCAACGATTTGGTAAAGCAAATATTTTTACCTGTAAATAATCCAGAAAACCCATTCTTAGCAACAATGTTCTTCATTATAGCCCAGGTTGACATAGGCATAGAAACTAAATGTTAAAAGAAAAAGATAGCATTATGAATTACCCCTTAATTTCTAATACAGGTAAACACATAAAATAGTGTATGGCCTTTGGGGATATATCATTTCAATATAATAACAAGTTTGTCTAAAAAGTTATTTTAAATATTATTTGTAATAGTTGGATTCATTAAAAAGAAAAAATTAGAAAAAGGCTATAAGTTTAAAGGTATAGAACTAAATGCAATCAAGGGGGAATATATAGAAGACTTCTCCTGAACTGATAGTATTTGTTTCTTAAGCTTTGTAGTAAGTATCCTTTATACTTTCTTTCACATATTAAAAAGTTTCATAGTGAAAAATTTTAAAGATATATAGAAATATTCATGTGGTTCCCAAAGCCAAAGAGAAGTCCTGATAATCATTTTCATTAAATTTTTATTGCACACATTAAATAATATTTTTTTTCTAAAAAGAGTTTCTGAGGATAATAGCTCATTCTCCCTAGTAAGGTTCTGCTTTATTAAAACCCTTCTGAATAGATGTGCCATATGAAATAAATTAGGTCAGTCCTATCCTCTCCAAAGGGCAGAACTGTCCTGTAACTAACAGTAACACTTCACTAATTTGCAACCACTCAAATAACTGAAAAATAGAAAAAATTAATTTGTATATTTAAAAAAATCAGCAAAAATAGACGTCACTGAGGTTCAAACATAAAGCTTATGAATGAGGCCCTGGCCAGGTAGGTCAGTTGGTTGGAATGTCATCCTGATATGCTAAGCTTGCAGGTTCGATCCCTGGTCAGGGCACATATAAGCAGCAGCCAACAAATAAATAAGTGCAACAACAGACAGTTGTCTCTCTGTCTCTGACTTCCTCTCTCTGAATGAATGAATGAATGATGATAGGGCTTAGGCAGCTAGAAGGCTTGCACCTAAAACAGGGAAGTGGAGAAGGGACTACACTTTGGTAAGTTAAGGACAAAGTTGTCACTAATATTCATCAGATTTATTTTCAGAGGTCTATAATTAATGTTTCTTTTAACATTAGAATACCTATTTTACTTTGTATGCAAAATATTATTCTGGTGGGGAACAATTTATTTAAATTATAATAGGCTTATCACAAGGCTTCTATGACACAATTTTGTAATGGATAATTTCCATTGGGTTTGCGACACTTTCTACAGATGATATTGACAGAATAGATCTAATGTATGCAACCAAGAGTACACTTTTGTTCTAGAAAAAATTACAGGTTATAAAGTAAAAATAGATGGAATAATAGGTAGAAAAAACATTTAAAAAGGAAAGCTAAAGTAAACAGGAAAATAATAAAATGTACAGGCATACTAATAAAACAAAACACACCAAGAGAAAAAAGGTTTCCCAGTAATTTACTATCCTTCACCTTGACTTGTGCAGATTTATTTGAAAAAAACAACAAAAACAAACATATAATTTAATCTTCTACATAGAACAGGTATAAGACTTAACTAATAGCAGGCAAAATACACAAACTTAGATTTCTTAATTTTTTTTTCGTTTGGGTTTAGAGTATTTTTTCCTGGATATTCCAATCTAAGAGTATATTAGTTTCAGCTAAAGAGTAAAGCAGAGGGGAAAAAAATCTTATCCCTATTCTAGATATTCCTAACTTAGTATCTGGAAAGAAAAACAAAAATTTATGGTATCTTAAAAATGTTTTAAATGAATTAAACTTACTTTTATGACTTTCATACATCCAAAGTTGTGTCTGCTTTTGTGTTTTTACCACATCAAATGGCAAAGTTACAACAGCTGCGAACTATCAAAAAGTAAAATTGATTGATTTAAATCTGCCTTTAAATTTTTCCTAAAATTACATTCTCTTAATTAGCACTTTATTTAATAAGGACAATACTGAAAATTATAACTAAACTAACATATAAAATAAAACCAGATATATTTAAAGAAAAGCTTTTGTTAAAGAAAATATATATGTCTTAGGTATTTCTCTGAAAATTTAGGAATAAGTAAAATGTCTCAGAAAAGTTCCCCTACTCCCCTGAGGTCACACAACTCCTAGTGGCAGAGACATAATTATAACCAGACATCTCTGACTTGAAAACCAGTGTTTGCAATCACCTACATTCCTGTGTTGCATTATTCCTTTACTATACATGAAGGTATAATACCTATTTTAAAGCAGAAATTCTCAAATATCTAGCAAGCATTTAAAATTTTCTAACAAATGTTTAAAAAACATTAAAAATTTTAAAAAATGGACTTTGAACTTTTAGTTCTATATACCTATATATCTAGTTCATCTCAAAATGAACCAACTTAACAATTATTTTCACAATGACCTAATTAAGGAAAGTTTTTTTAAAAGAATAATTAAATGCTCTTAAGAATGTCTTATAATATCTATAATAATAAAAGCGTAATATGCTATTTAGACTGGTTGTCCTTCCGGACGAAGCAGGGGCTGCGAGGCAAGCCCAGGTCCCAGGTGCCAGAGGGAAGTCAGTGCCAGCAGCCAGGGGAAGGAAGGCCTACTCTTGCATGAATTTCGTGCATCAGGCCTCTAGTCCTATATAATAAAAACCTAATATGCATATTGACTGAACAGCGAAATGACAGGTTGCTATGATGCGCACTGACCACCGGGGGGCAGACGCTCAACACAGGAGCTGCCCCCTGGTGGTCAGTGCACTCCAACAGGGGGAGCACCGCTCAGCCAGAAGCTGGGCTTACAGCTGGCGAGAGCAGCGACAGTGGTGGGAGCCTCTCCCACCTCTGTGGCAGCACTAAGGACCCCTCGGGGGATGTCCACCTGCTGGCTTAGGCCCACTCCCTGCCTAAGGCACAGACCAGGCTGAGGGACCCCCCATCAAGTGCACAAATTTTGTGCACTGGGCCTCTAGTCCTATATAATAAAAGAGAAACATGTAAATTGACCCCTTCGCTATGCTCACCAGCCAATCAGGAGTGAGTATACAAATTAACCCAACAAAGATGGCAGGTTAATTTGCATACACAGGCACTGGGTGGAGAGCAGAGTGGGAGAGCCAGCAGCTTGGGGGGACGTGGCCCCCTGGGTCGTTCCCCCAAGGAGCCGGGCAGAGAGCAGAGCAGGAGAGCCGGAGGCTTGGGGGGATGTGGCAGAGTGAGAGGCTGTGGGACAGAAACAGAGCAGGAAGGGAAAACCTAGAGCACGGGGAGCACCAGGAATGCTGGGAATCATAGTTCTGGTGGCAGCCCCAGGACTGGAAGCGGAAGCCCAGAATGCAGGGAGCACCAGGAATGCTGGGAATTGTAGTTCTGGTGGCAGACGGATCTCCTAGACCAGTGATGGCGAACTTATGACACTTGTGTCAGAGGTGACACGCGAACTCATTTTTTTGGTTGGTTTTTCTTTGTTAAATGGCATTTAAATATATAAAATAAATATCAAAAATATAAGTCTTTGTTTTACTATGGTTGCAAATATCAAAAAATTTCTATATGTGACACGGCACCAGAGTTAAGTTAGGGTTTTTCAAAATGCTGACACGCCGAGCTCAAAAGGTTCACCATCACTGTCCTAG